TGAGGTGGGTCCTCGGGGTAGACACTTCGATGCTTAAGTCAGCAATAATCGGATCTACCTTTTTAGAATAATTAAAGAGGAGCTTTAGATCGATTTCAATTACTTTTCTGAGGTGGCCCTTGGGAGGTATTTATAGGCCTCAGTGAGGTGTCCACGTGGCTTGCTTAACAGGATAATCAGAGTTTGACGTGTCCCTTAAGACGGTAAACTTGGGACCGAGAAATCAAGAGAAATTCTGGTGTGGGCATGCTCACCATAACTGTCATGCAGCTGTTTGACTGAGAAGTGCTTCACTTCGGTTATTAAAGAATTATAGCAGTACGTCCGAGGTCCTTAACCTCGGACCTATCCTTACACTATTCCCCCCTCGAAATCATTCACTTGTGAATGATTAGTGTGGAAGATGAGTGTAGATGGGGGTAGTCAATATAAAAATGTATGACATGAAGTCGTGTTTTTGGCTGTAGTTGAGGTAAAAATGCATGGCATAGAGTCATGTGTTTTGGGTCGTAGCCAAGGAAAAAATGCATGACATGGAGTCATGTGTTATAGCCGTAGCTGAAGTAAAATTGCATGACATGGAGTCATGTGTTATGGTCGTAGCCGAAGTAAAATTGATGATTCAATCACTGTGGCCAGAGCCGAAGTAATATAGGTGACGTGTGGTCATTATGGCTAGAGCCGAAGTAAAATAGGTGATGCATAGTCACTATGGCTGGAGCCGAGGTAAATAATGATGACCGAAGTCATAGCGGCCGGAGTCGAAATAAGAAGTAATGACCGGAGTCATGTGGCTGGAGTTGAGGTAAAAAGTAATGACCGGAGTCATGTGGCCGGAGCCAAGGTAATAAGCAATGACCGGAGTTATAAGGGTTGGAGTCGAAATAAAAGTAATGATCGAAGTCATGTGGCTGGAGCTGAAATAAAATGTGTGACTCAGGGTCACTGTGGCCGTAACTGAAGTAAAGATACATGACCCATAGTCATGCGTTATGGTTGTAGCTGAGAATGATGACTTGAAAATGACGACTCGAAAGTGACGATTTGCAACCTCATGAGCCATAATAATGGAAGTCAGACTTTTGAGAGTCATGCTTGATAAAGCTAGGATCAGAACCAGTTTTTGTAGAGTTGATTGAATGCCAATTTTGGTAGTTGGAGTTGCCTACCACAAAATCCTACCTTGAGATGCCCATAAGAAAATCTTGGTCTCTCGAGTCATAGCATAAAATCAAACCCCTTTGAGGGTTGTGCTTTGCAGAATTAAGATTGAATTGAGCTTTCATAGAACAAATGAGCTGAGAAGCTGATAGTTGATGGACGCAAGCTCTTGTAGATCGAATGGGCTAAAAAAGCCAATAGCTAATGGGCTCAAGGGCCAATAGTATTTTCTGATGAACTGATAAGTTTAAAAGTTGATAACATATTTCTAAGTCTTCCAAGCCAAGGAGTTAACAAACTCATGAGACTTGTAAGAATTCATTCTAAACATAGAACTTGACAAGATACCATTAGTTCATCAATAATCAATAATATATGAGATGCATCAACATTAAAGTGGCACAATAATTTAGAATTAAATATAAATGTCTGTGGCATGAGTCATCAAAATAAACAATAATAAGATGTGAATATTTAAAATATACTTAGGTTGAGTTATTCAAGCAGCAAATTAAACACATGCCAAGTAAAGTATAGAAGTTTATTTTTGTTGCTTATGTTTATGTATTCTCACTCTTCCTCTCAAAGAGAGATTTATCTCTTTAAGTTAGAACTAATAATAAAGACCACTTGCTCATGGATACCATTAGCTTGTAAATTATTCCACCATTTGTAGGAGGCTCCACAAATGTATAAATAAATGTCATTTAAGCCACTCACTTTTAGTTAAAACATGAAGAATATATTATATTCAATATATTCAATAAATATGGGCTTAGCATATCTTATTAATTAATGGCCCATGAGAGGTGGAACAGGATGGCTAGTGAAATGGCAAGTTGGCTGCAAGCTTACTGACTTGAAAAGTTGGCGAAGTAAACCAACTAGCTACAAGTCGAGATCTCTAGAGTAGATTCAAAATGATTAACGTGGCTTTAGGAGGCTAAGTGCCAGTGTTTTAGATTTCTTTTTAGTTTATTGTATGCTTGTTCTAAAAAACTACAGCCCACAAGGCCTCCACACTATATAAAAGTTCATATAATATATATATATTCTTCATAGGGTGTTTTAGAAATTTTATTAGGTGACATCCTTGAATGTCTCACCTAACTTCATGGATCACCTTGGCTATTATATTGAAATATTTCAAGGTTTTCCTTATTTTAACTAATCAACTAGACCTGAGCTCGGTTGTCATAAGGATGAGCTCAAGTAGTTGAGTTCATCTGAGGTTGTTTACCTCATCCAGGGGTAGCTCACCTTGGAATGGGCTATCATGAGGATGAGCTCAAGTAGTTGAGTTCATCCGAGAGTGTTTACCTCATCCAAGGTAGTTCACCTTGGAATGGGCTATCATGAGGATGAGCTCAAGTAGTTGAGTTCATCCGAGAGTGTTTACCTCATCCAAGGTAGTTCACCTTGGAATGGGTTGCCATGAGGATGAGTTCAAGTAGTTGAGTTCATCTGAGAGTGTTTACCTCATCCAAGGTAGTTCACCTTGGAATGGGTTGTGAGGATGAGTTCAAGTAGTTAAGCTCGGATTGAACTCATTCGAGGTTGTTTACCTCATCCAAGGTATTTCACCTCAAAATGGGTTGTGAGGATGAGCTCAACCATTTTATGAACTTGTTTAAGTTCCTAAGTCAGCACATGAAGTTCCTATTGTTAAAGTTCAAGGCTAACCATATTATATGATAAGGGTACAGATATATACACATATATATCTTAAGCTCAGTATCATAGTTAATAATTGTAATTAAAGTAAATTATGAAGCTGCACTTTTTAATCATAGGTTCCTATTAGAAGTCATAATGATGACTCTTCTCCCCCCTTAACTTGCACATTTGGGGTTGGTAAACATAAACGTTGTAATCATAAATTACATTATTTGCATTTTTATGCTTTAACACGTCCAATAAACAAGCAATCATGCATGTTGTAATAATAAGTCTTTCTAGCTTGTAAATATAAGAACAAAAATTGGACATGCAAAATAACTCATAAAAATCTTAAATGTGCAAAGTAATTTTGAAAATTTTAATATGTAACACTTACTTGACTTGCAGAGCAGAATTAATTTATACTTGAGAAAGAATTGTGCTTGATGAGATAGAAACTTGAGATAGAATTTAGCTTCTTACGAATGATGTTAACTCCTTGTTGTGACTTAAGAGCAAATGTGGAGAGAAAAAAATCTAGCCTCTCATAAATGATGCTAGAGAAGAAATTTACTTGATCATCTTTGTCAGCTATTGAGTTTTATGGTTGAGGCCCATAGCCTTTTAAAATTGGATGGAGGAGTTATTTATAGCTGGTATATAATTTTGATGGAGGAGCTTAGCATAAAGGGATTTCTCTAAAACCCACCCCACATGGAGTCCCTGCACTTTTCCATCTCTAGGATAGCAAAGGATATTTATAATCATAAGTGCAAATGAGAAAAGTAGCATGATTATGATATATAAAAACTGAGATGGCAAAATAATATCATGAGTGCAAAAACAAGTGCAGAATGAATGGAAAAATGTGGAATGAATGCAAAGAATGCGGAAAGCAATTAATAATAAATTTTAATATAAGATTGGACCAAACTTGGACCAAAGCTCTAATTTGCTACAGAGCTTAATTGCTTTCTTGACAACCTGTATCACAAGGACTTGAAAAAAGGAGAAATCAAAAGCATCCAGTTTTATAATCAAGAAAGTATACTATATAAAATAAATAAAAGAAAAAGATTACTAGTTCATCTTTTTTAATTTTCAAAACAATACATGGTTGATGAACTAAATTTATATACATATTAATGTAAAATTTATGCCTTGATATTATTGACATTTGGATGAATTTTACGAAAATTTACTTAATTTTGTATAATTTTCATTTTGTGCTGGAGAGGACTTAATTGGAAAAAGTCACAATCCTTGGAGTAAATTGAAAAGATATGAAATTTGAGGATTAAATTGTGCAGAATCCAAAAGTAAAGGGTCGAGATTGTAATTTTACCATTAACAGAATTTGCAGGGAAGGACAAAAACCCGACATGGGTTGGACGAATGCAAGAAAAGTGTCGGCACCTTGTTAAGGGTGTTGACACCTTGCAGCTCGTGTTGCATATCTTGCAGCTCATGCTTGACCTCTACATCTCGACCTCTGCACCTCATTTTCAAGTTCTGCACTTCATGCTCGGCCTCTACAATTCGTGGCTGACCTCGATAGTGAGTGTTTGAGCTCTACAGCTTGTTGTCACGGGGTGACACTAGCTCCGATGGCACTTGTCTTGGAAGCGGAATCTAGCTCGACCTCGTGTGGCACTTAGCTCGGAATTACCCTCGTAAACCCGAACCAAGTCAGCATTCCCCAATGCTTGGCGTGGCCCTCTAACTGGGCTCGAGGTTAGCAACACGTAAACGAAGGTAAGAAGTTGGGAGAAGAAGAGAATTTATTAAGATCGTAAGAGAGTGTACAAGAGCATGAGTACAAAGCCCCTCAATGCACTCACTCACCTAGCAGCTCACTCACTATGGTCTGACTCCTCCCTTTCTACTAAGGCCACCCCTATTTATAGAAGAGGTCTGGCCCAAGAGCCCTTTGCAGGTGAGCCTTTAGAACTCTCCACACAATTCCCTCATATTTACGCTTGCTAGAAGCTTCTCAACCCTCCTTCCCAGCCTAGCCTAGAATAATCTAGAACAAACACATTCTAAAATTATATACAAGGCCCTAGGAAGATATTCACAAGAGTTGGTCCCATTGGACCCGTCCAGACCCCTGTCTGGAGTGATTCCCGTGCGCCTAGCAGCTTCTAGAACATTCTTGGTCGCTCCAGTTTGTCACACAGGTGTCGACACCACAATCTCCTGCATTTTACACGTGTCGACACTGTATCCATTGCTGGCATGGCACACTATGTGGACGCCCTTGGCTGCTCCCGTGCACGCCTACGTGTCTCGACCGTGACCCCATGCCACGGCCGTGGCATTGACACTGCCAACTCATGCCAGGCCCTCCTCTTGAGTGTCCCATGTCGCGCTCGTGCCCGCGCCCGTGCTTGCGCTCGTGCGCCCTAGTGCCTTGAGCCATTCTGCACTCATGCGTGCCAGCTCCTCGACCCAGCTTGCTCGTGCGTGCACCCGTGTCTCAGGCTAGGACACTCTCGTGCGCCCACGCATGTCGCCCCCGACTGCTCCTGCACGCTCCCACACATCTTGTCCGCAACTTCACGCCACAGCCCCGGTATCAACACCTCCGCTAGCAAGGCCCGTTGCATCTCGAGCGATCCACCTAGCACCTCGGACCTCGTATACGTAAGTGTCATAATCGCAGCCCCGTGTCGCAATACCGACACCCTCGTCCAGCATGCCCTCATCCAACATGCCGGTGTTCGCGCTTGCGCTTCTGCTTGTGCCTATGCTCGTGCTCGCGCCTGTCCTCATGTACGCACTTGCACTCCGCGACGCTGCATGGCATGCCCCCTGGACGCTGAACACACCCTCAGTGTACCTGTGGTTGCAGCTTTGTGCCCTAATGCCCTTGACTTCGGCCCTCAAACTCGTGTGCCGTGACATTGTGCTCAAGTTCTGCATTTCGTGCTCGACCTCGGCAGCAAGTGTTTGAGCTTTGTAGCTCGTGGTTGACCTCGGCAGCTCATGTTTGAGCTTTGCACTTCGTGCTCGACCCCTGCGCTTTGTGCTTGACCTTTGCAGCTCATGGTTGACCTTGACAGCTCGTGTTTGTGCTCTGCAGCTTCATGCTTGACCTCTGCAACTCGTGGTTGAGCTCGGAAGCTCGTGTTGGAGCTCTGCACTTCCTGCTTGACCTCTACAGCTCGTGTTTGAGCTCGACAGCTTGTGTTGGAGCTTTGCACTTCATGCTTGACCTTTGCAGCTTGTAGTTGAGCTCAAAAGCAAGTTTTTGAGCTCTGTAACTCGTGCTCGAGTTCTGCACTTCGTGCTAGACCTCTGCAGCTTGTGGTTGACCTCGGCAGCAAGTGTTTGAGTTCTGCAATTCATGGTTGACCTCAGTAGCTTGTGTTTGAGCTCTGCAGTTGGTGCTCGTGTTCTGCACCTCATGGTTGACTTCAGCAGCTTGTGTTTGAGCTTGTCAGCGCGCAACTCATGCTCCAGCAGGGACTTTGTAGCTCGTTATTGTCGAACTCCCAGGGGGTTACTTGGGGCAGCGTGTATATACTCTCTTCCTTCCACGGATGGGGAACATGAGGCTGTTGCAGATGTGCATGGTGTGTTCACGGGTAAATTCTTTGCGCCTCTAAATGGTTCGGTGATGCAACGTGGGTAGTTGAATGCCTCTGCTCTCAACTGAGCATGAGATGGGACTGCTGGCTTCTCAGCAGCATGTGTTCATGATAGTGGTTGACTATCATCACCGAATTATGGTGTCCAGGCCCTCCAAAGCTTTCATCTAACGCTGCCATCACCTTTCTCTGTCATTGGAACCATAGGCCTTTGTTCCCTAGCAGCTGATTGGAGGGATTTTGCTCTTGGATTTTGCAAGAACAAATTTAAAAAAGAGGAAGATTCCAACTTGCGTTACAGTAAAAGAGAATAAAACAACATAAAAAACAAGGTAAAATAATGAAAGATTAGGATTTATCTCCCTAGTAATCGCAGAGCGATAGCCAAGCTCAAATGGTTTATTGCCCAGGGAGGATGCTTGTGGTTGGAACTCTCGTCTTCCCGATGGTTTCATAGAGTGTTGATTTTTTGCAAGTACGGGCTGACCATCATTATATGTTGTTGATTGCTTGCGTCTTCCTCAACGAACTTCTTTACAAATTTGCTTGGTACGTGGTGATGAGCTGGGAGATTGCTTTGCTACCGCCGAGCTAGGGGACTGCTTTGTTACCGAGCTGGGAGACTGCTTGACATTGTGGAGCTAGGGGGCTGCATTGTTGCTGCCGAAATGCCGAGCTTGGAGAATGCTTGTTGCTACTAAGCTTGGTGACTTTGTGGGTGACTACTTTGTCGCTGCTAAGCTGGGAGGTTGCTTTGTCGCTGCCATCAAGCTCGAGCTCGTCTTCTCTCGTTGAGATTGTTTTATTTGTGAATATATAGATATATATATATTTTAACTTTCATGGTCTTGTGCTCACCGCTTTTTTTTTTTTTGTTTTTTGTCTTTTTCTTTTTCTTTGTTTATTATATATATATATATTATTGCTTTGACTTGCCTTGAGCATGTGCTTTACTGACACATTTTTTCCTTTTTTGAATATTCATGGTTGACATTGCACCATACGTACCTTTTATTTTATTAAATAAAACTTCGATAATTGTGCAAAGCTAAACCTCTGTTTATCTTCTTATGAAAGCTTCTCTTCTTTACAGGTGAATAAACCCATTTTGTAAATTCATTAGATCTACTTCTGCGACTCAAAAGAATCAGCCATGAGCCTTTAACTCATCTTCTCTTCCCTCCAATCAACCGGATTAACATAGAAATAAAGCTTTTTATTCGAGTTCCCACAGACGGTGCCAATGTAATTGCACCAAACCAGAAGCCTTTCTTCAGTCCAAGTCTTCACTTTGGATGAACCTACAAAGTCTCGAGGTGGGTTCTTGAGGTAGACACTCCGATGCTTAAGTCAGCAATAATCGGATCTACCTTTTTAGAATAATTAAAGATGAGCTTTAGGTCGGTTTCAATTGCCTTTCTGAGGTGGCCTTTGGGGGTATTTATAGGCCTCAGTGAGGTGTCCATGTGGCTTACTTAACAGGATAATCGGAGTCTGACGTGTCCCTTAAGACGATAAACTCAGGATTGGGAAGTTAAGAGAAATTCTGGTGTGGGCATACTCACCATAACTGTCATGCAGTTGTTTGACTAGGAAGTGCTTCACTTCGGTTATTAAAGAATTATAGCAGTACATCCGAGGTCCGAGGTTACAAGAGCATTGGGATTCCATACTTTATAAAAGTTTGGAAAGTGTTATATAATTATTAGTTTATATATATAAATATATATTAGGTGATGATATTGGGATAACTTTTTTGTCCCACTTTTTTATACAATTTTCACATTTTCATTAAATGAGTGGATGTATTTAATATTACGGGTCATATATAAATTAAAAGAACCAATTATTCTAATTACACATCAGATTATACAAAAATATGAGATAAAAAAGTTATCCAATAGCATTTTCCATATATATTTTGGCCATTGCTTTTTTTTTTTTTTGGTGCAACATTTCGGCCATTGTTGATATTAGTTAATTTATCTTATATTTTCCTTATTTTATAGCTTTTTGTATTTTGTAGCGCTGAGTAGGTTGAGTTTTGGGCTTTGATGATGAAGTTTCTTCCTTAAAATACAAGGAATTTATTGGTAGGTTCTTTCCGTTTGGATTTGTCTAATATTATATGAAAATGAAAGAGAGATATGATTACATAAGTGAAAAGGCTAGGGATTAGGGAAATATTCAAACATTTGGGTAGCTTAAATCATCAAATTGGCTAATTTATGTAAAAATATATGGGTAAGTAACCAAGCACTTAATTAGATTTACATGATCCTTAATCTCTCTCTCTTTCTCTCTCTCTCATGTAATGAGTTACAAGAAATTAATTTGTATTTAAAAGATTTTAATGTTAGGTAACTCATAGGGAGTAATATCTTGAAGTTTTTGAGTTATATAAATGCAGTTCTTGTCTTGATTTTTCAATGTGTTTTGGTTATTCACCAACTAAAAAGCAAATTAGTACCATCCATTAAGCATGACAAAGTTCATAATTTTCTCAGTTTTTGTTGTTTTGCTTATTGCGAGTGGAGCAGTCATGGCTCATGATGAAGGCTCTAACTTGGAGGATGATCTTATCAAAAAATTTGGTTGTGAAAACAAGATGCATGTAAGATGTGTTAG